TTTGATAGGGTCCCACACGTCCCGCTGCTCCACAAACTCGAGTCTAACGGGATTCAACGAAAAATCCTACACTGGATCAAGGCGTTCCTATCAGACAGATCCTTCCAAGTGAGAATAAGCTCGACCTACTCTTCTCCAGCGCCGGTCTCCTTTGGGGTTCCTCAAGGCTCCGTTTTCGGACCAGTGCTGTTTCCGCTATATATCCACGGCCTTCCAGATGTTCTTGTAAGTCCATGTCTACTTTTTGCGGACGACTTGAAATCCTGGAGTTGCAATGATGGTGCCCTCCAAATGTATGTAGGCGCTGCAAAGCAATGGTCGTTGCTCTGGTACCTTACTTTGAATGATGAACTGTGTCCGTATGTCTTTTGGAGGGGACTCATCGAATGCTTTCGTCATGCGTCGTGAGAAAGGGCCAGAAAACATCATGAGGATAGACACCAAAAGGGATTTCGGCATCTGACTCCTCCAAAAATTGTCCCTCTCCCTGAGGGGGACCATGAGGAATCGGACCAAGGTTTTCGACATTTTACGGATGATCCGAAGCACCTTCTTCCGTATTACTCTCATGGGCTTCTAACTATATTATGTGGCCTACGTCCGACCGCTTCTGAAATACACCAACCAAGTTGTCTACTCAGAATGCACGAAAGACATCATCCTCACTGAGCGTGTTCAGCGAGCCACTACGAAAAGTTTGCCGGCCTCAAATGTGTGGACTACGAACCGCGTCTCGTAGTGTTTGACCTCTTTCTCCTTGAGTATCATCGCCTCCGAAGGGACCTAATTATTACGTATTCCCCGTTTGAAGAAACCTTGGCTAACATGTTTTTCACCATTGACCCGACAAACGCACGGCGGGGACATGGTAAGAAGATTTTCTAGCTCAGAGCGCACACATTCATTAGACAAAAAGTTTTTCTTATTTCCGGTGGTGGCTGCGTGAAATTGCCTTTCTCCGGCGGTCGTCCACACTCCTTCTAGAACCCAGTTCAAAGCGAGTCCTCGCGCTGGCAAGCATACTGTCTCGCTCTGAGAGCATAAAGGGCAGTGCTGCACCTGTTTTTCGCTTGTACCTTTCAGGAGAGCGATAGCCACTGGAAAACAAGGACAAAACCGACCCGAGAAACTTTAGAAAAAGCCGCGATCCTGTGTAACAATCCGCGAATCCGCGAATCCGTGAATCTGGTATGTTATTTGGATGCCACCCAGACAGAATATTGGAAATCGGTTTCATTTTAACCTCGGACAAACTTCGCTCCCTTTCGCCAGCTTTTTATAGCACAGCGCTTGTTTCGTGTGCATTGTGCACAAATCATGATGACCACCTTTGAAAGGACCCCACTTTGTGCCCAAGTAGCCTGAAATATTTCCAGGTTTTTCCTTAGCGCGTGCTGACATGTCCACTGTAACGATTGTCTTTCCATTGTGTACCGCAGCAAGGTAGTCCCCGAAGGAATTCAAGCTGAACCATGCGAGAGCTGCATCCATAGGAACTGCAATGGTCTCTCCAACTGCCGGTATAGGCTCATCTCAGGGGTTCTTGTGTATACTCTGCATTATAAAGGCAGATCCTGAAGTACAATCTAGATCTAACCCTTCGTTGCCTCTTGCGCTCTCTATCTTTATAACTCCATCGACCACACCTATGCATTTGCTCCGAAACCGAGGTTCTCCCACCTGCGGTATCTCCACCAACTCCCAACCATCGGCACCCTGAAATACTTTCAAAAACAAGGCTTTCTCCCCAGCGCTGCCAATGATATACGTTCTTCTTTTCAATCGGCCATCAAAGGACTGAAAAGGATCGGTGCTTTTTGCTCACCGATGCGATGTATTCACCAGATGACCCACCGAATTCTGGGAACCTTAAGTGTGTAAAGCTCCTTGTGCCAGTTCTAGGCGGTAAATGAGAACGTGTGGCCAGACTGCGCAATTAGGGTTTCTCTATTATTTGCCTCCGATGGCGATGCAAAAACCGTCCTTTTAGCCAACTTCTCTGGACCCGTTTCTCCCGTCCAAGTTCATCCGCTGGATCTTCACATCGAAGTTCTACCGGGCTCTTCGTTCATCGGGTGAAGCAGGGCCATAGACCACTTACTTTTAGTTGGTTCCGGACGGTGACGCCTGGGATGTTTAGCCTCTACCATTCTCCCGTTGACAATGCGCCTCCTGCCTCTAAAATCCAAAGGAAAACGATAACCCCAAATTTGAGCAGCTTTAAACAATGCACCTTCAGCAATGCACCCCTGAACTGCTCGGCCACCCATCTAAATCCTCAAATGAGCCTCCAACGGAGAGGATACTGTTGATTGGAGAGGCAGAACACAGAACCGCGTAGTCGAAAGCCCTCATGCAAGTATCTATTTGAGAGTCCGTTGATAAATGAGTCAGAGATCTTGTGATCAGACATTATGCGCCGTTTGTTTTGAAAAAGTTTGAAATGAGTGTTGTAGAAAATCGTTGATCCAAATATCCTGGAGATGGCGCTTATCGTAACAACGTAGTACCATATTGCAGCGTTACAGCACTAGGTATACGTGACCCAAAATTTGGGATTCGTGAAACGCGCTTTAAAATCCTTTGAATTTTTGTCCAACATCGAAACTCAACGGAACTTCTGGAATAACGAAGACACCGCTGCAGATTTGATAACCTAATGTTGGTTTGATGTCATAGTTTATGTAGGCCAATGACCGAGTGCGCAGGGGCGCTCCGGTGACTTTTTACTTTTGTTTAAAAACCATAGTATACGAGGACAGACTCAACGCAGTTCTATGTAGCCATAATGCGACAGTACAGCAGTAAGCCGGGTCCAAATGTCATATTTTATGCATCGAGTGAATAATGCGGACTCACTTATCAACTCTTCGACATCCTTGTTGTCACTACTACGCCTCAAGACCAAGTGATTTGGCGAGTTCGAAGGTCCTGATTCTCGATAGAAGACCCGTTTCCCACAAGTTTTTTTACCCCGCCTATAGTCTTATCATAGTCGGAAGACCACATTGTTCAACGTAGGCTGCGACCTTGATGTAGCGCAGGTAATTTATCTGAAAGATCACCTTTAAGACTGCCTTCTTTTTAGTTTGGAAACAGAAACTACCCATTTCTACTGTCACTAAAATTCTCCGCCAACTTTGGCAGAAAAAACTCACTCAGGCTGCTAGTTGGATGTATTAGTTTTTCCAACACTTGCGTATGTGGAGCGAGTTCGCCCTTACTACCCTGGCACTGTCCTTGAAAGCAGTTTGTGCGACAGCAATGATATACATCATTGCTCTAGTTAGGCAGGACGCGTACACTCCGACAAATGAGATTTGTTGGTATTTAGACCCAATACTCCGGTTCGGACGTCTACCACATCCTCCTTGATGTAGTTTGTTAAGATCAACGATTCTGAACGTCCGACCCGACAGTGACGCGGGAACACGTCAAGATTGGGTGGGGACCGCTACTTCGGCGTTGTCAGCGGAAACGCTGACTTTTATTCGCGAATCCCCAACGTACGCCTCTACAGAATTGCTTTTATTAGAAGACGCCTCAACACCTGCTCTTCACAAATTTATACAAATGTATACAATTCTGATGGTGGAAGATGTGGAAGGACTGCTAAGCTTGCTTCGGTGGCAATTATTACGTCACTTTCAAGGGAGGGAGCTGGGGGCTAGTAGCTGGAACGTAACGGTTTTATTGATTAACAGAAAGTTTGGCGTAACCAATTTTGGCTTTTAAGTGTGCCTGTTAGATGGCACGAGAAATTGTATCTGTTAACCTAACGTAACCCGTTGTCATCAGGAGCAGCATGAAAGCACTTAAGTCAATATCACTTACTCTGAGCTATAATAAAGTGGATTCCGGTTGGATTCCGGTGGTGTGTGTAACAAACTCCTCGTCGTAAATGTAGCGCAGGACGCTTTAAACGTGCATAGAAATGGGTGTACGCGAAGGCTGGTAGCAGGCACGGACAGCCTGTCTCTCAGTTAACTCCTAATGGTGGCCGGCAAATTATACCACGTGTACCAGGGGTTGTACTTTAGGCGATACGAATCAGCTCAAGAGGAGCCAGATTGAGACAAGACCTCCATTTCGACATCTGTAAAACGAGAATAGAATAAAGACTCTAAGCGACGTGCGATCGGGAGGGCTATGAGAATTTTTTAATGATGCCCGTGATGTGCGCCATGCCTGAAAACTCCTAGGATACTTTCCTGTTTGGCGTGGCCTTCTACAACCAATCGCTGCAGTATTGACACAATTCTATGAATTAGGAACCGCAAACCATTTTGTAGGCAATACAGACCTACTGTGAGCTTTTAACCAAAAGGGATTTCACTGATACTCCGGTCACCAAAAGGAAAAAATACGACTGCATTTTTGTGCAATGCAGGTGATTGGAACAACAGTCATTATTCTACAGTTATTGACAAGCTTAAAATAAAAAGTAAGTTTTTGGAATCTGCCACCAGTCCCTGCGTTCTTTTATTTTCATTCTCACTTCAAGCGTCCCAAGCCACTTGTACGACAGAACACCGGAACAAAACCTCAGTCCGCCCAGGCGCTGAGCAAGGTGTAAAGGCCTAAGTGTTCTCGAAACACTTCCGGCTACGAAGAACTATTCTCCCGGCAACCACCCAGCAACTTCATATCGGTGAAATTCGGTTAAATTTGAACTACTATCAATAAGTGACGATGGTGAGATTGCGTGACCCAATCATGAAGACTGCACCTGTGAAGAGCCGGAGGGAGCCTTGAAGCCGTATCAACTAACGGTCAGCCGGTATATGCTCTTACACTTGACAATTATCTTATCATTCCTTTTACCGAAGTATTGCCGTTTTTACATCCTTCATCTACAAAATCATGCGTGCACTATACTACACATGATTGTGGTTACTATAAGCCTTCGTATGAAGTTGACGAGAATCGATTTGTCCTTGCATTCACAATCCCTATGTTGACTCTTTTGATCAAAGACCTCTAGCTGAGGAAATTCAGTCTCCAGACGGCATCGTTTCCGGGTCCCCTAGAGACCGAATCGTGCCGTTTTAGTGATGGCTGTCACTGCCATACACAGGCCGGTGAAATCCATCATTATTAGCCTTGTAACGTTCACTTGGCCTTCTGCTGTCTTATCTGTTACTTAATATATACAGCCATACTTTGGACCTTGGAAGAATAACTGCAAGCGATAGTACTTTTGATCCACTGAGCCTTTCCGGGTTTGCAGAACTTCAGCGCACTAATATTCAGCGGCACCCCTGTTGCTTTATCAACACAGTTGGCACTCCCCTTTCGAGGAATCGACATAAGTTTCTGCAATGGCAAACGTTTATTAGCTCGAGGAACTTTCGTTACTGAATCCTCCCCATAAACCAGTGGATTTACCAGGTTTTATTATCCGTCGTGATTCCGGAGTAAAATACGGTATTTCTCCCTGCTGTGAAGTTGGTTACTTCATTATTTTCCCTCCGATTCCCCTGACTCTCGCTAATGGTTTTTTGAGTTCACAAATTTTCATCAACCGTCATCAGTTTTGGTTCATATCGGTCGAGCATTTATCTACAGAGTGCTTATTTCCATCCAGTTTCATTGAATTAGCCTACGATTTCCGACAAATCGGGAATAACCACTATGTTGTTAACATACCTCTCAAGTTTGCCTTTTAATTTACTTTTCGCTGATCGCAGTGTTTTCCGGGGCCAATCTAATCATGCTTTGTTTTTCTACCGCTCACAATTTGGTAAATTGACCTATTATTCTAGCGAGTAGATTTGTGAGCAAGTGGAAGCCAAAAGATCATACACAGATATGCTAAGGAAATATCTCTGGAACTAAAAATGCATGGAAGCGAAAAGGTGCTATGTAGAAACTTCAGCGTATGTAGTACGGGTTAAAACAAGAACTGCATTCCTTGCTTAAATACTCTGAATAAGTTCTTCAGACAAGAAATTTGCATTTTCCTTATCCGAAAGCCCAGGTAAAGAAATGCTGCAAACGGAGCGAAAAATTTGGATCGGTCCTTGTCTAAGGAATTATTTTTATATGCAGATCGCGATATGCAAACAACAGACCCTAACTTACCTTGCAACCGTTACTGAGGCGTGACAGAATCTTCATTACCCATACTCATTCTAAACTCCATGCCTATTGAAGAGGGTTCCCCGGTTCCACGCTTGTGTCCATTTGAACAGACGACTAAAGACTCAAGTGCCATACGATATTTCCAGTTGCAGTCAGTTTGTTAATCTAGGAAAGACCTCGATGGGCAACAAAGTTATGAAAAACCAACTTTTCATTATTGAGGACGCCAGGTTTTATGACACTGTCAAGGACAAAGCTCGGCTAGTAAAAACTATTCATAACATTCGCTTCCTGCTTATAAGGCCGTGAGTCAAAGGCAACTTACTCGCTTAAATGTACTGTTCTGTAAGTAAATAATGATAGGTTTGTCTCGCAACCTGTAGCGAACATGTCGATTGAGACATTATCAAGTCAATATAGTCTGAACGCGGCATGCGACCGAATGAGAAAGAGGGTACGTCAAACGAGATATGTTGATTAGGTGAATTCAGCGCGGTTGCGGGGACCAGAAAAACACGGAAAATGGGCACAATGGAAACGGCTGACTCAAACGAATATTTGAAAAAATAACTGGTCTTGAGTGACGGCAGTTTTGAACGACTTAAACCTGAATATCCCGTTTGGTCTGTTATCCAGCTTTCTCTCCAAAATTTATTCTGGAAATGAATAGGTCGCATAAACGAGCGGTTCGGATCAGCCCCCTATTGTTTCCGGTTTAAGCTTTAGGTAAGTGCACCCGTTGATTGCTCATAGTTCGCTCTTCAAGTGAAACATGATGCAGACAGAAATTAAGGAATTGCGCTAACCTGATTGGTACCGATTTTGGGGAATTTTCAACAATATTAATAGTTTATTTTGAAATGAGACAACATACTTCACGTTCCTTAAGGCAAATGTTCATTTGATTGATCACCTAGACAAATCCTACATCACCGCAGCATTGCTTCCGAAGTTCGCGCAGAAAGCTTTCTTTGGCACACGTTTTACCGCCTTTCCCCCCTTACCGCATGGGAACGAGTGGCCTCTGAATACTGAAAATAGGTGTACGCAAGGCAGCCACATTGATTGGTAAAATATGCACGTGCAGGTTCCGGCCGAGGTGTTTACTGTCTGAGAACATCTGGGGGTTTGTACCACAAACTGACTGTTACTAACAACGGGCTTCTCACCTTGAAGCGATCTGTCTGCTTGTATAGCAGATTTGGCGTGCATATTCCAATGTGCCTGAGAACCTGATTAGCGGCGTCTGTCGTCATCCGGGAAACCGCACGTTGAACGTAGATATCTCCCTCCCGAATTTCTCGACGGTCACAACAATAAGTGGTGTGCATTCCATATTCCCGCATTAGCCATTCGCTGTGATGAGCGACCTTCAGAAAGGCATGCTCTAGGCTATCTGAGTGATGCACGCGCCTCTTCAAAGGCCCGTTGGCGTTCTCCAGGCGGTTGTTGGTCACTTTCCCAAAATGTACCAACCCGCGTTGTGCATGAATGGCCCACTTTCGAGTGATATGGAGCCAGTGGGCAGTCAAATAAGAGACAAAACTAGGATCTGTTGGCCTCAAGATTTGCAAATCGTGGCGAAATCTATAGGATTAGTGTTTGGTGCACAGTCACTTACTCAGCTGCATTATCAAAGTGGAATGTGTCGACTGTGGTTGGAAATTGTCTGCAAAAGTTACACCAAAGCTATGAAACATACGTCCTTCCGGATGGCTTGCCGTGCGTGAAAATAGCACAGCATTACGTCGCAGCCAAATACGGCTTTGGCAGCCCGCATCTGTGAAGTCATTTTGTCCATGACGAACGTTTTGACTGCATATTGTCCACCCACCATATCCTTGAACAAGCTGAACAGCTTGCGCAATGGCGCAAAATGCTCGCTTTCAACAAAGGCATACATGACGGGTCGACCGATCCCCATGCCATCTGTCACAAGGAATGTATAAAGCTTGTAACTTAACAGCGAACGTCAGTGGCTCGAAATTTATTTACCCAAGACGGTTAGTACCGTGTGTAGCATCAACGTTTACAACGTCCGGGAAACGTCTAAAGAGTGCTATCTGCTGCGTTCGAGAAAAGCACAGGTGACTATATCTGCCACCCTCCGATTCCACCAGCAGCACGCGACCGCACTCTCGAAACTTGGCTATGATGGACGACATGTCATCTAAGAAACCAACTAAAAGGTAACCAACGACCTACTTAACAATGGGGGTCGACACTTGACGCGATAGTTACGCACATCCTTGATAGTGAGTACCTTTCCAAAGTGGTCGGCGACGTACTGCCGAATCTCCGATGACGGAGCACCGTATTTCAAAAGGGTAGAACACTCCTTTAATTCATCATTTGTCAGTCGCCGGTTGATGGGGAGCCTGTCAAAAATAAACTTGCTGCGTGGATGGTTGTGCTCCAGGTAGTAGGAAGTAACCCTCAAGCAGTCATGGTACCGGCGAACGTGGAACCTTGCCGGACAATCAGTACGACGTGTGCTACAACGTATACACAGTCAACCATTAACTTACTAGGTGCGACGAATTCCACGGCTTCTGCTTCGTCTGCAGGGATGTCTGCTGCAACGGTAGGAGGCTTTTTCATACAAAAGTAGCGAATTGCTGCTCTTTTTGGAGTCTATACAGACGAAAACAACGAAATGTTTCGTCTGGTACTCTTTCAAAGCGACTTGAAATGCATTGAATGAGAAAAAACTTTGACGAGCTAAATTCTCCACAAAATCATCCTCCGCATTCACGTGCTCAGCCATAGCAGCCATTTAAAATATGAATATCCCGGGTCTTGAATATCGTGTGGATTGAGTAGATTTAAACAACTTTCAACAAAACTGCGGCCGTTTGATCTCATCTCATACGCACGAAAAATTACCATCAAATGTTAAAACTTTATGTTAAAGTTTTGCTCCTTCGAACCACGGTTTCAGAGAACGGCGTGCGTATTTTCGGCGTGCGTCTAGCCCACGGCCTGTGCTAGCGCCTACCACGCCCTGAGGAGCATTCACCATTGTTTGTCCTTTCTCCGGTTGTTGGTCTTTAGACGCATGTTTCCATATCAAAATCTTTACATACTTTGGGATTCACCTCATCTGACTGGAGCTGCTCTTGGCATGATTTTGAATGAGACGTTTCCCTCTTTTCTCCCATATTCTCCTGCCACTCTTTCGCATTCATCGCCGGCATTCATTTTTTTAAGTTTGTGAGCGTGCTCTTCAAAAATAAATGATTATATATATATCGCGTAATGGGTAGCAGTTTTTGGAAATTCTAATGCATTCTCTATGCGGCAGTGACAACAAGCATTCCACCAATACCGGGTCATGATCCAGACTTTCGACCAATCAGATTTCGGCTTGATACCGGACCAGCAAGCGTCCCAATTTTCGACCAATTTTGAGCGGGATAGGCTCTCGGCAGTAGCAGCTGTTACTGTGCCAGCACCCTGCTGCGGGCGGTAGAGCGGTATCCGTGTGGAATTCCGTCTAACCCCTGTAAAGGACGTCAAAGTCAAGATGATCAAACCGAATGTGGTATTTTGTGCACTAATTCACACAGTAGTGAACCGAGAGCAACCCTGGCGTTCAGCGATCACTGGCATTTTGGTTGTGCAGAATTACAAATGTGTAGCAGAAGTCCGTTGCAGTACCAGGAGCCGTATTGCAACAGAACTGTCACCGTCTCTCTTACTCTACCATTCGTGATACACAAATCGTTTTTTTTTAAAGGTTAACCCCATACAACGAGTAGATAGTCCAACGATTAGCGATGCTGCGTCTCGCACCATAAAACTTCGCGTGTGAATCGTCTGATAGAGCGAGATTCGAAGTTAAACCAGGAAATAAATCAAAGAAGTAGACAGTGACTCAGCCTGGATGTCACATGTAAATCTCAGGAGCAAATACACTGCACCTGCTTGTGACGATAGTGTAAGCTGGCAAAGTACCTCGTTCACAAAATTTACGACAGAACCCAAGCTTCCTTTGGACACGTCAATACCTGTGGTGTGTCAGACGTTATGTCCTCATCGGAAACCGATGGCGGTCTTATTGGCATGCCAAAAAATTCTTCGGACTTCTCTTTGAGCTATTCTACGTTCGTCACAGCCAGCTGTTGTAAAACAACACCTATCTTACGAACAGATGGCTCACCGTCAATCGGTCTTTATCACATCACACTCAAGCCTGTGACTATCGAATTCAGCCTGAATCTTTATACCACAATTTGGTCTCGGACAGTGGTGACATAAGCCCCAGAGCTGGTGTTTGCCGAAGGATCCAGTCGGGCCAACAGCAGTGCTTTCCGAGACACCAGAGGAGGGCATTGTGTTGTCATCCGGATCTACGGAGTTTGCTGCAGGTCGGACCCGTCTAATCACAATTCGTGATACTTCTAACGTAACCTCAACTAGGAAACAATAAACCGCCTATTATGCATCAATGAGGCTTGAACCTTCCGGCACTTGAGTGTTCGCCTCAACTGCTCACCTATCTGGTGGAGGTGAATAATAATAACGTTTTGGTAGAAAACCTGATACAGAATGGGTTGCGAGGTGTCCAGTTCAGTGGACCCGGTCGTGCTTCACTAAGTAAACAATAGACTTCCGGGTTGGTGGGACGATTTCTGATAACCAACAAGTCAGCTGCGGCGCGACCCTGCGTTTCCTTTTAGGGCAGTTACTGCTTGTGAATTTTTTCTATGATCCGCCCGTGTAAAGTCCATGAACGCTCTTCATTGTTGACCGAGCACCAGGACGAACTGCGGTCATTCGTCGATTACCTCAGCGTGCATTGGGCTCTACAAACGGTTTTACGGCTACACAGGAAAGTTTCCTAAAGCTTATGCCCTACGTTATAAAAAAATCTGGTGTAAAGTCACTCCATCAGTCCGGTCAGCAGACAGGATTAGCCAAAACCAGAAGAACTAGCAATTCTGCCTTCTGAAGGCCAGACCTGGGGCCCTAACTGTGTCCACCCCCGGATGCAACCTAATACATCTATGAATTACGTCTATTGGGAAGTCCCGAGAGAAGGGCACTATGGTAAGCATTCGCCAGAATCGCATTCAACCCATCCTCTTTAGTTAAACGTATCCCGGTGAAGTTTTGAATCTATGGTACGAGATCTGAGGGTGTCGTCAAGATCCCAACCAGGCCCCCAGACAATCTGTATTTATTGTTACTGCTTGCGACCCGACAGGGGTCCATCCAGATTCTGCAAAATGCGATTGTTATTTGATAAATGTAGCACGTGGCTGAGCCACGTGCTCCGGTGCCATGATTTATTTAAAAACCTTATTGTGGAGCGTGAACGGGGAAGGAGCGTGGTGCTTGTCTACCACAATCATTTCGAGGTAACTACACTTCCAGACACTCATTCAGGCAGTCTGAATAGGAATTAACAACAAGTGCACCACTGACATTGGTTGGCAGCCATGTATTGCAGCGTCTTCTACCAGGCGCAGTGGGGGCCACGTGGTCCCCATCCTGCAGGGCGAATAGCACCCAAACGTCTCGTAATCTCATTCATGCCTCTCTACCACCTGTCTGCTGCCACCACTCGGTGAAAATCACGGGAGCTTTTGGAGGGCTCTTCGTATACTATCACGCCTGGAAGTCTGAGACTACAACGAACTTACCATGTTCACAAACTTCTGAAGCATTTCTTGCTGCGCATGCGTGTTAAAGGAGGATAGACTGGTCATTTGAGTTAAATGCACAATATCGAAATTGTGGGTTGATTATACGTATGGCGTTGTTCTTGCACCTGACGGAGTGTGGAGATCTGGTCATCAAAACATTTGCCAAGTCGGAATCCAACTTGCTGCCCTCGAGTTAGTTTCACGAGCTACCATAAGGCGACGAAAGAGAAGTGACGTCGAGATTGTCGATGAGACCGGGGTCAAGATGACTCACTACGAGCTCCTTCTCTGAGAATGGGCACTACCACCCATTTTCTCCAGTTTTCCGGAACAACCTTTTTCCAAAATGCACGGCAGCTCGCTGGCGCTTGAGAGAAAACATGCAGTCATAAATCTCGGAAATCGTAAAGG